TGTCTTACGTTTCAAGAAAGGCCCGGCCCTCTAAATGATGGCCGTTGCCCGTAATGGTTGAGATAACTCCCGGATAATTGACACCAATGTAGCGATATATGACCATTGAGATATATCCGCGAGTTTTTCCTGGATTGTGAACAAATTTGTCGGTGAAAAACTCAACCTTGTTCGAGTGAAAACCCAATATAGTTAATATAATACATTTTATACTATTTATATGATTTCCAAGTTATTAAAAAGGTGTTAACCTTTTTCGAACTAGTCTTTAAAACTGAGCCATTTGTAATAACTTCTTCTGGATTTTTCTGGTCTTTGGATCACAGCCTAGATATTTCTATTAAAATGAAATCATCAAAATTGATTCATAAACGACGAAGTAATGCCTGAACCCGCGTAAAATCAATATACACTGTAGTTTACACCAGTCCAACACCCGAAGCGTCGGGCGGTAGTTAAAATAGATTGTAAAAAGTTAACCACTATTTCTTGCGTTTGAAACTGTTAAAAGTGTTTTATTTAAAATCACATATATTAGTTTTTAAATCTACCTTTTTGAATTTGGTTAAGATCAGTATTAAATAAAACACTTTAACGGTTTAAAACGTGACACATTAGTTGAACTTATTTGAAAATAATTTTTAACTTCGGCCCGACGTTTCGGATGCTTTGCAGCAGTTTATTTTCAAATAAGTTTAACTAATATATCGCGTTTTAAACCGTTAAAGTGTTTCATTTAAATCTACTCGCGTAAACTATAGACAGTATTTAAGATCAGAATTGTCAAATTTATATAATTCTTGGTATGTTTACCAAATGCTTTGTATTTCTACTTTGTATTTCGATCCTTAAATTTTATTATTTCTTTACTCAAATTATTACATAATATTCAGATAGTAAATTTTAATATCTGTGTAACCGATCGGGTTATCGAGGGTCTGTCCCTAACTAACAATGTCACTAAGATGGCACTAGGGAGATAAGGTCAACAAGTCTGTTACACTGCAATCATCTGAAACAAATTAATATGTATAAGAAAATAGAGTAATTTATATACGTTAAATACTGTACAAGACACAATTCAATACGATTTGTTTATTATTAAAGATTACAAATCTATTGAGAGTTACCGTGGCCTAACTTACTTGGATAGGCAACACGGAATTCTGTGAGTGCCGCTTCAAGTCCTACCCGTGTAGTTTGATTTTTCAATATAAATAGATTTAAATTTTGTATTATACTATCGCATGTAATAAAATTTGCAAAATATTAAAGCAAAAAATTAATATTTTAAAATCTTAATTTGAAGTATTAGTATTTTTCAAACATACATACAACATATAATTTAGAAATCGAAAATAAATTGAAAAAATTTTCGACTCGGGCAGGACTTGAACCGGCATCGTCAGCTTTCCGTGCTGTTGCTCTAATTATATAGTGCCTTCATGTGCAAAAACATGTGAAAAATAATAATGTTTTCAAATATAGAAGGACAGATAATCATGAGAATTTGATAGAAGGTTTACTAATCTAGCCAATTAGCCATATAACATTTAAACAAAGCATCTTCTGTTGACCTGTTATGGCTTTAGAATTCCATTACAATATTCGGAAATCCACAGACTGAAAATGAAACATTATATTTTAACTTAACAGCTTTTTCATCTGTGGACTGTGGTTCGTTACCCCGGGCGGAATTTCGACATCACACGTGTCTTAAAAAAATTCTAAAGAACCACCGATAAATTTTTTGACCTGCGTTTGGCTAAAATGTTTAATTATATTGTCTAGCATTGCGTTATGCGCGAGAGGCCCTGGGTTCGAATCCCAGGGGAACAAAAAATTGTTCCGGTCGGGTAGGACACAGAAGTCTGATCAACTACTTGCCAGTTAAAGAACGAATCATTGAAACGGACACAGAAACGTGTTCTCCCCATGCCCCACGACGGGGAAACGGGATTTCATTAGGAGCGATCCGTTTATTATTAGCCATACATTGTTACTATTAAACCAACGAGTTCGTCAAGAATATGTGTCAATTCATAATTCAATTTTATAAATTCTTATACAAAAATGTAAAACTTTGTAACAATCGATACAGCTAGTTAGCATAAAACGAATATAACTATATACAATGTATTAAAAATATTCTAATATTTGTTAAGAGATAATGATGAAAATATGAAAAGTTGTATTATACGTATCACTCCAAACTTTTTTTTATTATGATAAAGCTCGCATTGATTCGTTTATATTTCTTTCTATCTTCTTTTGATGTTTTTTGCCCCTCACTACTTAGATACTGACGCTAAAGTGATTTATTATGAGGCAACACTGGTTGCAACGAAAATAAAATGTAATTTCTTTGTGTTTACTGTGAACGCGGATAGGCGTGTTTTGGTGAATCCATATATATCGTGCTTTGTAAGTTGAAAGTTAACTTTTTAATAAGATTGTAACTCATACGTAGTATTTTTTGGAGGAAATTGAATAAATAAAAATATGAGCTCTCTATATTTATCTCGTTGCAGATGAAGTCATCAATACTGAATTCTGCTTCTGAATTTGTATTGATAATTTGTATACAACCTATTTTTAATTATTTGTGATCTAATTAATGTAACTGGCAATTGCCGTTTTTATTGTTTTATAATAAATAAATAAAGGATGATTTATTAACCGTTTAAGGTTAATGATTTAATTCTGATTTAACTTTATTCGTTTGTGTTTAGATTATCTATGCCTTTCATATTACTTACTTAGGTCCTACTGCTAGGCCCAGGGGCCACATTAAAAAAGAGACAGGGTTTGGAGTTGATATGATAATTAGAACCACTACGCAGCTCCAGTTGGGCTTTTACTAAATTAGTGATACTAACCGAGACGAAAGGCTTATCTAAAATTTCGTGGAAGCTGAGCTCTGGAGGCGGAGGGATATATTAAAACACACAGACTTCATACTTTCAGATGTATATATATTAACACTATTTCATTTAACACTTTCATTTGGAATATATATCACTCAATAGAAAAAACCCATGTTTCACCGAGCGTGTCGAGAAGAGTATAGTTGTAATTTGTTTTATAACATAGAAGAAAATCTTGTAAATTTCAATTACAGAATAGAAAATTCGAAATATCTTGCTAATTCAAGTGTTGCCAGCTCATATCACCGTATTAAAATGTCCACGCTCCGCAAAAGCAAGCTAATGTCTAGAAAATTTTTAAATGTCGAATAACAATTTAACCGACCCGATTAATCAAGGAGGCAGACATTTTACATACATTTTCTCATATACGGAAAATTAAATATTTTTTAAGTACTCGATTTTTTTTACACCGAATTCACCTATGACTTTTAAACATTAAATTTACAATTTTTCAATAATTTGATGAAAAGCGGCGCGCTGAGCTTTTTACCAAAAAAATTTTGATTTAATTTATTTCAAACTATGTGGAGTTTCAGCGCTAACATGTTTTATAGCTTAACGGGAATGCATCAAACTTTTAGCTTTGCTTTTAGTATATGTTAAAAAAGAGTATTTTGAACGCAATAAAATTGTTTTTATACCTTTGGTCTCCATGAAAAAGACATAACGCCGCGTTGAATTTATTGTGGCGAGTACCCAGGTGGCTTTCCTCATAAAATGCTAGGAGTGGGCGAAGGTGGCTGCGATGTACTAAGATAATCAGAATTTACGGGACGCCTTCTCCAAATTTTGGCCTTCATGTTAGTTTCGCGCGTCTTAAATCTCTCTTCGCAGCCTGCGGTGGTACGAATAATATATATGTTATTTCTTTGTTGTTAATATTTTCTATTGAAGGCCATTGCCGAGTGATCAGCTGATTATTTCAGACAATTATTCTGTTTTTTTTTTAGTATGTCTTAAAAAATCTACATTTTTGGATAGTCAAGGTTGTTACAATCATTTATCACCTTTGTCCAAAAAATATTTTTTCTATGGCAACACAGAACAGACTAAATAATCTGTGTACATGTTAGTGATCAATAGGCAGTACACCGTCCGATGAAAGTATGATTTCCCAAGATTCGAAACCTACATTAAATACAACTGTTTCCTGTCTTCCAATGCTAAGCAATGCTCTTAACCATTGAGCCATTTTGGCTTCACCAATAAAAGCTCACATCGTCATAGAGCTTACAGTCTTGTTGCCCAAAAGACCCATTGTGCTATCTCCGCTGAAGTTCTAGCTAAATGAATAGAGGCTTACTGATCGGGCCAGGCAATATAGTTTCGTGTTAATAAAGAGACAATTTCCATTGTAGGTCCTTTACATAAAACTGCTTTGATTTATCTTAACATGTAACGTTATGGTCTTTTACCAACTTCACAAAAAATGGTTTTCAATTTTATTCCTATATATGCTTTTTTTGCGTATAAATAAATCGTTCATAAACCGATTTTGATGATTTTTATTTGTTGGAATAGGTATTAAAAAGAAATCACTGCAAGGTAGAAGAAAGAAATCTAGGGAATTATTGTTACTCGTTGGAACGACTAGTACATGTATTTAGTAGTTGTTTTGTAAATTGATATAAGTAAGAATACATTTGTATTGCGCTCTTTACACAGATTGCTTTTTTTCAGGCAAGTTGTTGATCAGACTTCTTCGCCTTACTCGACCGAAACAATATTTTGTTTCCCCAAAATTCGAATACGTTTTATAATTGCGCTACAAAAGCGGTCAAATTATAATGACTTTTAAATTAGTAGTGCATTTCAATTGCATTTCTTCATTTTTAAAGCCATTGAGGTAGAAAACAAGAAACCCTCGTAAGCAAAGCTCTTATAGCTAAACTTACAACTTGAAACTTAATATACAATTAACCCGTCCCGTTTGAAGTCTCATCATATCTGAAAGCCATGAGAAAACTACAGCACATTTTTACACAGTACGATAAGTACGGGGTCCACCCATAAAATTACTCTGCGAAACCCGCCTACGTTCAATACCTCTCAAGAAATATTGCTGGTATTATGAGGGGTCACAAAGTGAGGACGGCGATATTGGCAGCCCTTAGCAGACGACGTAAGGTGAGGAAACTTCACATAAAACCTAAAGAGGCAGGTGCATTCCATTTCGTCGGCGCCGAAATGTGCGCGTATTTCACGCTTCACGCGTCATTACAGCGCCTCACAGCGAATACACGGTGTTTCAGCGAAAAGGGAAAGAGTAACAATAAAAATCTTACTGCTGAAAGCGAATGAAGTAAAGGCTCGTGTTATGTGTGTAAGACACATCGCACGTTATTACCTCGTGGCACTACATTCATGTGTCTTTAAAACTGCACCATCTCTAAATCTAAAATAGTTCGACACCGCATTTTGTTTAGATGCTATAGGCTGGGGTATTTCACCTACCATCAAGTGAACTCCTTGCTTGTCCGTCCTCTTTTATCATAAAAAAATTAATTTCTGAGCGAACACATCCAAATTACATGTATTCAGTATTACAGTGAACGTTTTAAATTACATTAATGTATGTAAACAATATTCCGATTATTTAAACTCGAAGGCACCTATAAGATCGCTACATCAAAGACGATAAAAACACGAGCGACACCAAGTTCATAAACATATTTATGACGATTCTTTTTTACTTATCACGGTCGTAAGAGCGCCATCTTGCGACGCAATAAAAATGTTATCTAAGTGAGTTTTCATTTCAAGATATTAATGCCGCGTACCTAGTTACATCGCAGTGAATAAAAGTCGGCCACTCTCCAGCTGATGTTCGCGGTACATGCGAGGCAGTTGACAAATGAAACAGCTTCAACATATTTTTTAACTTTGAGAATGGGGGCGCGTTTTGTGCCTTATCTACTGTGATTCATAATACGTGATACCGGGCTTGTGTTTAAAGCCTCCTTTGCTTTTCAACGTTTTTAATATGAAGTGAGGTGTAAAGGCTCACGTAATATTTATATTGTAGGTGAACGTACTCGTGCGTCGTATTTTTGCACGTTTTAATGGTGAGAGTCGGTAAATGGTTTTTCTTTAATTTAATGATTTCAAAGCTTATCTGTAGCATTCAGCTTTTGACCTACTAGGTATACAAACATTTTTTATACAACTTAAGCTTAAAATCAATTCTAATATGTATAAAGAGAGCTATATAGTATCTAAACAAGAAGGGCTGTCAACCTACTTTCGGCTTTGGATATATGGAAATCCACAGACCGAAATTGAAACGTGATTAAATTTGGCGGCCTTTTAAACTGTTGACGGTGGTCTGTAATCCGGACGGAATTTCAATATTTCTACGACCCATTTAATAAACAGATTTCTGGACGAAATCTTGCATATTTTAGAAAAAAAATTTTAATAAAAACATGTTAGACTAGGTGCGGATCTTATCAATGTATAAACGTTGTAAGCTCAATTATTTTATTAAGTAGATATGATTGTAGTTATTAGAAATTTGTAGTTAATAGTTTATTTTAAAAGATAAATAAATGTTTAAAATAAATTATTATAACGTTATTGTTAGAAATATCTTTCTTCAACAGATCCTCTCCATTGGCCGGCTAACAAAATGAATTATGTAAAACTCTATTCAACTAACAGTTTGTTAACATAACAGGCACTTCGAAATAATAATAAAAAAACAATTCCGTCGTGGCGTTCGTGTCATAAATACGTTAGGAGAAAATAGAAAAGTAGTTACCGCGAGAATTGACACTTCAATTAAACGAGTGTCCCTATAAACGGTTTCTGTTTCCCATTACTCCGCTACTGTTTTGTGAAAAGCTGATAATGTAGGGTGTTCTTGACGTTCAAATTAGTATTTTTAATAAGCTTTTGTTATTAAATGCGGAAACAAGACGTTTCACGTAGCTAACGATTTCCAAGAGCTAATTTGTCTTATAAGATACATTGGTAGTAGAATGTGACTATACGTAAGACTAGGTGCGTCAGCAAATTCGTCCGCTTATAAAAGTAATTTTGGCTACCCAGATTTGTTTTTGCAAACCCAGCCATTTTTATCAATTTAAGCTACCACGATATCGGACGTCCCGTCGTTCTTGCAAGTTAATCTTAAAAGAGAGATATATAGTATCGCTAACATTTTTTTGATAATTTAAAGTAGTTATTCTTTCATACATATTTTTTAGGTATCTTGAACCATTTTCGCAAAGTACGCAATGGAAAATCACAAGGGTGAATAATTTTCCCGTTCTCCTCCTATTAGTCACAGCGATATATTAATAATACACTTTAACGGCGTAAAACGCGATATATTAGTTAACCCTTTTGGAAACGTCGGGCCGTAGTTAAAATCAGTTTAACCAATATATATCGCATTTTAAACCGTTAAAGTGTTTTATTTAAATGTGTTACTCGCGTAAACTACGGACAGATTTTGATTAACTATTTTTAAATTTAATGTTTTAAACGCAAGGATTTATATATTTTTTTGTTACTTTAACTTTAGTTATGTCATATTTTCTTATTGCTGGGACATCAACAATAGCTAGGTTAGTTTTTGAAACACTATTTGAATTTGGAAGGTGCTTCTAGACGTAAGTGTACACGGGTTAACATTTAAAGAACCTTTGTGAAATTTTATGTTATGTCAGATACAAGCATTTAAAACTTTTTCTATTTACCTAACAGCTATAACAAAAATTTAGTTCTTATGCGACCCTCAACCCAGTACAAGGGAAAAGCCACTCTATTTGCTTAAGTTAAAGTTGAAATTAGTATGCGAGACGTTAATGTCTTCAGCTGGGTGACCTGAAAAGTAGCATACAACACGCAATATAGCATTCTCATAATTCAGTGTCATAATTGGTTGGTACGTTAATTAGTCGTATAGTACACGTTAATAGCCATTTTCTAGGCTAGGTGCTCTGAACTCTCAAAATCGCAACAGCTCCAAAAGCTTAACTTTAATTAAAAGCTAATAAAAGCAAACATTACTTCCAGAGCTCAATTGTCAAACACGTTGCAGAGTTCTATGCGCAAGAGGTTCTGGCTAGATATTTAAAGATATATTAATAATCGTTTAGTGAAATTGGACACAGAAATGTATTTGTAGATTAAGAGAAATTTTACATACATACTGAAACAACTTATATACCCCAAACGTTGCTAAAAATGTGTATGGTGTAGAATAAATATAATTTTATAGAAATTTTCAAGAGAAAATAAAGATGTCACTACAGTACCGGTAAATAAAGCCGTTTAATTTCCATAACGTTATTTTATTATTTACTGACAGTAATAGTATAGTTTATTAAACTACCATCGTTACCAATATAAGTGTGTACCTATTGTTAAATAATTAAGTACCATCGAGTTACGTCATTTTAAAATTGTATTGATCCCCAGACGTCCCCATCCTAAATGTGAGTCTCTGAAACACAAAATTATGTATATACGTAACATCATACGGACTGATTTCTATAAAAAAACGCATCTATTCAAGTTGCGCTATCAACAGTCGTATAAGCGAAGCATAATTTGGTTTCAATTTAAAATTATATTTAAACATGCATGTAGCATTTAAAGAAAGATAGTAAGTGAAACATGCCGATAAGGTCTATGAAATTCAAATTCAAAACTTTTTTATAGACCTTTTAACACGTGTACAGTAGTAATATATATTTAGTAGTTAAAACTACTAAATATTTATCATTTAGTAGTTTTAACTACTAAATAAAATATATAATAAAATAGATAAGAAAGGCAATCGGTACCAGTCCCAGCTGTGCTGCTGAATGCTTGTCACACTCAACAGCGCTGGATTTCAGACCGGCCCAGGTATTGTAGAAGAGTGAAGTTTATAAGAAGGAAAATAAAACACTTTAACAGTTTAAAACGCGATATACTCGAAAATTATTTTTAACTTTGGCCCGACGTTTTGAAGTTAAAAAATAATTTTCAAATAAGTTTAACTAATATATAACGCGTTTTAAACCGTTAGTGTTTTATTTAAATGTGTACTACTCGCGTAAACTACAGACAGTATTTGATATAAGGATGATGAGGGGCTGGATATATCTCAACAGCTAGAGTAACTTTAAGGTATAGCGTACGTCACGTGTTAAATATTCCACTAACATTGTATGCACTTTTATTTATCGTTGCTTGAGTCTCTATTATTATCTAACATTGTTGTTGCACCTGAAACATTCTAGCCCCCAATATAAACCTTACACTCTACTACACGAGACAAAGGAAATTAAACTGGCTTTTTCAAGGATTATAAAGTTAAAAAATGTTTAAAACACCCCACTTTCAGGCGTAAAACTTTAAAAAGGAAATTCAGTGACGCAATCTCTCGTTCCTGAAAGCGTTGGGACCGATTTAGAAAAAGCCTTTGTTTCTCTTCAGCATACCGACGGCCCTCGTTGATTTGAGGAGACAATAGCGGCCTCTCACTTCTCCACAATACCCGATAGCTTAGAAAGAGCTCACAATAAAAACGTACAAAACAATGAAATTCAATGAAAATGAAGATACCAATTGCCTCTGACGTTTTTAATATTTCTTTGTCAATTCTACACCCGTATTGTCTGTGACCGTTCGTTATCATAATTTCACTTATTTTGGTGTTAAAGTCGCATTCCACTTACTAACGCCACTTTTATGGCGACACTAACTTTTGTTAGCCGTTGTAATTTATGTGCCGTCGAGGAAAAACAGTTTCAATTATTAATTTTGCAAGTGAGGTGTGTTTAGTTATAGTCGTCCAACGGAAATACTGGAGACAAAGTGATTCGGTCACAATGGAATGGTATCACTCCGTAAGGAATATTACACTAAAAACAAAAGCCTTTATCGTTTTAATACATCTATTATGTACAATATAGAAATATATTTAAGTATATAAATATTATCTTTTACATTACTACATTTTTTTAAATTATTGTAAAGGCAAGAGATTTGTTTTAAGAAAGTATAGTAGTTCATCCGTCTTAGTAATGGTCAGTTTTCTTAGTATGCAATTAAATCAAATAATTATAGCTCAATTAAAAAGTTCATAATTCAGGGTTATTTAAATAAAAAACACTAACACTGGTGATATATATTGGTTAAACTAATTTGAAAATTATTTTAACTGTTGCCCGATGTTTCGACTGCTTTGCAGCAGCAGGTCACGGGGAGACATCGGACAGAAACGTCGAGCCGTAGTTAGAATAATTTTCAAATAAGTTTAACTAATATATATCACGTTTTAAACCGTTGAAATGTTTTATTTA